CCGGTCAAAGCGCAGCATTTCCAGCCTCCAACAACCTGGGAAAACTACCGCAATTTCGATTCCGAATTTCGGTGGACGTGGAGAGAAGAGAAGGTGAGCGAAGCCTGACTCGACGAATATGCGTCACGACCGGTGCTCACGCATGTACTTGGCGGGTCTTTGATTGGCAGGACTTGGTTCGCCTGCTGGACCGAAAGGTTTTGGCTTTCGCGTGTCTCGCTTTCGTCTCCCTGAATCTGGACAGGAATAACCTACTGGCTGCTAATTCGGATGGCATGCTGCCCGATCTTGGACTCACACAAGATGACTATGGCCTGGCCAACACACTCTTCAAGGTCTGCTTCTTGATCGCAGAGCTGCCGGGTCAACTCATCTCGAAGCGCATTGGTCCCGATCGCTTCGTGCCTTTGCAGATGGGAGCCTGGGCCATCCTAACCATCTTTCAGTTCTTCATCTCCGGACGAACCTCGTATCTCCTGTGCCGATGCCTACTTGGCTTCTGTCAAGGATCTTTCATTCCGGATCTCATGCTCTTCTTGTCACTTTTCTACAAGAATGCAGAGCTGTACATGCGTTTGGCCATCTTTTGGTTCGGCATGCAGGCGACCTCATTCGTCTCGAGCTACTTCACCTACGGCCTCATGCAAATGGGCGGCGTTGCTGGCAAAGAAGGGTGGAGATGGCTCTTCGTGAGTCTGTCTGTGCGCAAATTCCACGGGAAGGTGGTGGCCCATCTGACAGCGCCTTCTCTATTGCGCATGTAGTTCTGGGAAGGCCTGCTGACGCTCGGCATGGCGGTGCTCGCTTGGTTCAAGATGCCTCCAGGTCCGTCGCAAGTCAAGCGAGGCTTCTATACGGATCACGACCGACAGTCGAAGATCGCCGTGATGCGCATCATCCGCGACGATCCTGGCAAAGCGACAATGCACAACCGTCAAGGACTGAGCTTCAAGCAATTCTTTGAGACCGTGCTTGACTACAAAATGTTCCCGCTCTACTTTCACGGTCTGCTCTTCGAAGTTCCTCAAGATACTGTGCAGCAATACCTCACGATCTCTCTCAAACAGCTCGGCTTCTCCACCCTGCTTTCGCAAACCCTCAGCTCGGTGCACTACGCCTGCACCATCTTCACAAGTCTGGCCGTCAATATCCTCGTTGAGCTTACTCGAACTAGAGCTTTGAACTGCGTCCTGCTCGGTATTTGGGTCTTGCCGTGCTTGATAGCTCTCAAGCTTCTGCCTTTCCCCAATCCTTGGGGATTCTTTGCCGTTGCTACCGTGCTCACTTCAGGTCCTTACATCCATCCAAGTGAGTGGTGACACCGCAAACGTTTCGAAATGTAAGACGCGCTATGGTGCTGATTCGCAGCCCTGAATGCTCTCCTCCAGTCCAAGTCGCTTGGGTCTCGGAAATCTCCGGAGATGTCGGCAAGCGTGCTTTGACCGCTTCCGTGTACAACATGTTTGTCCAGGGCTCTTCTATCATCGGATCCAATACGTATCGTGCGAGCGACGCACCAGAATACTCAAAAGGCAACACTGTCCTCATCGTCCTCACGACCGTGAACATGCTCTTTTACTTCTTCACCCGATGGTTTTATCGTCGCATTAACATAAAGAGAGACGAAAGGTGGTCCTCGATGTCCGAAGAGGAGAAGGAGCATTACCTCGCCACTACCACCGACAAAGGAAATGACCTCCTCACTTTCCGCTTCGTATTCTAGAGTCTCGGTCATCCATCATTCTCATACATGTTTCGCCTTGCGCGTCTTCGCTATTCAGGTTGACGACACGAAAAGACCGATTCATGTCACAGTCTCCACAGTCTGCCATCCACACTTGTACTCCCACCATGGTAGAATCGAATGTCGCAACGCCGGCTGCTGCCAGAGAAGGATTGAATCGTCGAGGTAGTTTGCTGAATGATGTGCTCATGCTGGCGGTAGGTGAGCTCCTCCATCCAGAAACGCGAGTAAAATGCCTCGCGTGCCTTGCTCTGCAGTTCAGCGTGCCGCGAACATCCATCCTCAGCACATGACAAGTCAGGAACGATTAGACTCGCGAGCGACCTCTCGCAATCAGGAATGCCAAGGAGGTGCGGAAGCTCACCTGGTGAGGTTTCGCGCTTGCGCGAGCCCATTGTGGATAATGAGGCACCTGCTCGTGCATGGCTGCCGCATCAGATCTCAAGAGCAGTGCTTGCAGCTTTAGACGGCATGCACGGACCTCTTCGCGGATGGCGCCATCGCCATTTAGAGTCCGAGTCTGAACTCAAAGGTGCTGCATGGCGATTAAGGGCGCGGGGCTTGCCTTGGCTATCCAACGTGTATCGGTACCGGTACTTAATCAAGGTCTTTCGGCCCGCATCGCTCAAGATTGTGTGGTGAAAAGGCGGATGAAGAGCAGCCGCATAAACCACAATCATCGAGACGAGAGTGTTCTCGACCTCAGCTTGGCTTCCTTTCGGAAAGGGCGTGCGTGACACACGGCCTGGATGGTGTCATGTGGGGCTACGAGATAGCAGCGTGTTCTAAAGACTCGAAGCTGCCAGTTGCTTGTCACACCACGAACGCTTCTGGCAGTCGAGCGCTGCTTCGACACACTTGTTGATGTCAGTGTGCACGATACGGAGTGCTGCTACTGTGCACACGACATCGATGCGCCTGATGTCTTATAAGACGTGGTGAACCATCGACAACCCGCCTCGTGAATCTGTCCCCAATCGTGAATCCAGCAGAGTCAACTCCCTAAATTTTCAAATCGTCCGTCCCTCTAAATCAGCTCAAACACAATGTCGGTCGCCAAAGAGGTAGCAAACGCCAATCAAGAATTCGTGTCCAGCCGCAAGACTGGTCAATTGCCACTGCCGCCTGCGCGAAAGCTGACCGTCTTGACGTGCATGGACGCACGTATCGACCCCGTCGTGAGTCCTTTGGGAGGAAGCCAGCGTCGAAAGCCGGTCTTGGTCGAGAGCACACTACGAGACAAGAACTGACGACCTACAAGAATCGGGTTAGGCTGCATTTGGTATCAAAGAAGGTGACGCTCATGTCATTCGTAATGCTGTGAGTTGGGCATCGTACCTGCCAGCTGCATTTGAAAGAAGGCTCCGCTCAACTGCTCTACGTACTTTCAACACCCTACCAAATCTCTAGGGCGCCCGTGCGCCCGACGCCGTCCGCAGTCTTGTGATCAGCCAGCAGTTGCTGGGCACGGACACCATCCTGGTGATTGGCCATTCGTGAGTGAGGCGCACCCCGCAGATTCAGGGTTGGCCACCAGGAGCTCAATGCTCCTCGCCCTCTTGCCCAAAAAAGCGACTGTGGAATGCTGAGTAAGTCGAGACGTGCTTCGCACAAAAACTTGCACTCGCTGAGCATATCTTTGGCCGTCTATCCTCTCAGCTTTCCAAACGCCTCAAGCTCGCGAGATCGTGGCCAAGCAACAGGGAAGCCATCTCGACAGCAAGGGAAAGGCCGAGCTCGACTCTCTGAACTTCCTCGAGTGAGTCGCATGACAGTGCTACTTGCGCATTGCCCACCATGCCTGACGCTAGGCATTCGACTGTCTAGGTTCCCCGACCTCCATTCCAATGTCGCGAGTGATGTCGCATTTTTGAAAAGCAACACCCTCATCAAGCCCAACACTGACATCTCTGGCTGGGTCGTGAGTCCAAATGAGCCTGAGGCGACACGCATGAACGTGACTGACTGCGATCGCTTCCGCATCCTCCATCAAACGGGAACAGTACGATGTCGGCAGCGGCAAGCTGAGCCAGGTCGCTTAGATGCTTGTACGGCCTCGCCAGGCTCGACAAGCTATCCAGCCACCGTCATTCGCGTATACCTGTGCATCTTACCATCACATCCCGAGTCCAGGTCCGGATGTTTCGTGACAATGGATGCGCATTGCAGTCGTTGTAGTCGTGAGAGGACATAGTGAGAAATGAAAGTTGCCCAAAACGGCTCAGACGCAGGGACGTCAAAGAAGCGACGCTTTGTCCTCACCGAGCATGATCCACAGTTTTGCGATCTGCAGCTCCATTTGGCTAGAGAGGATATTCGAGAGGGTCCCGGTCAGCAGTGTCCGCATGCACACGCAAGCAGCCTGTGGACCCTTGAAGACACGACAAATAACGAGCGGAACCTCCTGCGGCAAATGTACTCGAGGCTAGAAGGTGGGACGCGCGCCTTAGTCCTCTTCGTAGACATGTCGCTTGCGAGATTCGCCCGGGGTCATGCCCTTGCCTGCGCCTACGACACCGACTGCGGCAGAAAGAGTGTGAGTGGTAAGCCGTACACTCGACGAGCGTGCATGTATGCGCTCGCCTGATTGAGAAATCTCACCTCTGGCCAAAGGATCCTCGGGCGTCCTGAACATGCTCTTGCCAGATGTGCCTGCAATCGAATATCCCTTCTTGGCACCCTTCTTAGCAAACTTCTGCCAGGTGCTCTGCTTTTCCAATGCTGCCTGATCCTTGCCCTGACTACGCTCTGTCTTTTTCTCATTGCGTTTGCGCTTCCTTTCCCGCTCAGCTTCCTCTTCTGGCGTCAAGGTGCTAGCGCCGCGTTTCACAATGCCAGCTTTGGTCACAGGCGTGTTGGATGCGGCATCTGAAGAGCCAGTCCCTGCGCCTGGACCGGATGGCCTGGCCAAGGGCTTCAAAGAAGCACTGGTGACCATTTCGGTGGTATTGTATCCCTTGAATACGATGCTGTAGACTGGGTTAGCGGCAGATCCTCCGACCGACGTAATGCGTGCAGGATACCAGCGCCCGTCCGCCTGAAGGTCAACAAAAGATGAATCAGAGACATTGTAATGTACGCAAGGCCTTTAACACGGGCTAGTCGCGTCTAGCTCACCTGGTACTTTGCCATGCATTCTTCACCTGCAGCATACTTCCTGACTTCCTTCTCGGTTGCTGTTGATCGTAAATTGGAGGACTCTCCTCTCGGACTTTCATCACGCGACTTTGCGCTAGTGCTCGGAAGCTTGGATGAGCCAGCGTGCGGACTGCTAGAAGCCGCTTTGGCAGCCTGCGCTTCGGCTGTTTGTTGTGACACCAGCTCCCGGGTCAGAGTGATGAGGTTGGTCAGCTCTTCGTGTAGTGTCTTGAGTTCCGCATTGTTGGGGTCCGCGGACAAGGCGTCATTGACCTGCGACAGCTGAAACTCGTAAGACTGCAGTCTGTCGAGGAGCGCGATACAGCAAAATCAGCGTGAGCCTGGCAGCGTCGCTAGAGAAAGTATGGCGGATGCATCGCACTCACTCGGTGGCGTCCATGATCGCGAGGCAAGTATCGTGTATGCCCTCTCACAAGGCCAAGGCTGGGGTGTGGCGAGGCGAGGGCGCGAGCGAGTCTAAGGATGTATGCTATGTCAGTTGGTCAGAGCTGAGAGTGAGCACCGGCAAAATCTTTGACGTAGTCTGAATGATGATGGATGTGGTACATGGGCGAGAAGCAAGTGAGATCGATGCGGTGATGTGGACGATTCGACTCGACTCACGACTGCATGGGCCTTCGCAAGTCATGATCGAGTCGACGGTGCGGGTGTCGAGGCGAAGGCCGGTGAAACGCGCACGTGACGGCAAGCTGCAGCTCCTGACTTGGTGGTTGTGACTACTCATGACTCTGACTCAAATACCCGCCGGGGCTTCTTGCGGCGCGCTCGACGAACATGCTCCCTTGCGCTTTCCTCCTCCACAACCCATGTCAATCGCTCGATGATGCACCTTGCGGGTCTTCTAATCTTTGGAAACCTTCCGCGGTAGGTGAGTGAGTACATTATGGATTTTTCAAGGAGCCGGCACCAATCACCAGGTTTATGCTGCGGTCGGGGTATAGCCCAGCCCGCCCGAAGGAGGGGGCGCGGTAGCTAGATTGCATATAGATTGGACAATTTTGCGCGGCTTGAATGTCGCCAGCATGCTGCCAAATCTTGGCCACCCAGATCAGTTGAGACCAGACATCTCCGCGGATGGCATGGTCCCGAATGCCCTTCGTGATGACGCGGACATCACAACGCAAGCTGCACGGCAGTCGTCAAGTCGACGTCGTGGCTTTTCTCCATGACATGGTAGGCAGAAAGAAGCCGGAGATCGACAATGGGCCACGCCGCCTAAAGCATGCATAGCCACGGCACGGCGATGAAGTGCTCTCATGCCAAGTGCGTGCAACGATTACGGTCAGGGAGGTAATGAAGGCGCCACCGAAGGCCAAGAGGGCGCCGCGTAGCTACGCAGCGCAGTGATTGTTGTGTCTGCGTTTAGCAACACGAGTCGCAAAGACCACAGTCGCAACGAGGGTCCAGGTACCGTACCTCGTGCGCGGTAATTGTGACGCAAGCTGGGCAAATGAATTGGGCGAGGGCTGGGCATCGCTTGGGCGTTGCAGCAGGCACACGGAGAGAAGTTTGCCTCGCCAAAGCCTTTAAAAGAGCGATCACGAGTGATGCAGCAACAGATGACCACATCACATTTGTGTGTGCAAAGACTCAACCGCACATTCTTCGAACTGGCGCATACATTCGCCCGTCCGCCCATCACTTCACGCGCTCTCCTCGCAAACGTCGCAGATGCTGACCTCGACGTCCTCTCGTCACTTTTGCTACATCGTGGCAGCTGTTTCGGTGCTCTTTATCGCACATTTACCAGCGCATGCGAGACCAGGACCACGGCCAGCGCCAGCGCCAGCACCGCGACCAGGTCCCAGACCAGCGCCCGTGCCGCACGTGCCCTGGTCACCCCTGCCCACTGGAGGTCTTGGCGTGAGCAGAAGGACAAGCGCAAGTCTGGCTCTCATCGAGCGTCAGAGCTCGCCGCCAGGCTCCGACACCCTACGAGCTTCAGAGCCGGGAGGTCCGCTACAACCCCACTCTCATTCTTCGGGCGTCTCGGACTCGTACGCCGACAATCTCTTGCCGGAACCGCTTGCGGCCTGCTACAATACCAATTCGTCGTATCAAGCGACGGATCGACAACCGACGGTCATCAACAAGACGTCTCCAGTCTCAAATCCGCACTGTCCAGAGAAACCTGATCTTGGCGACGAGTCGGGTGACGCGACGGTACAGCCCTCCAGATCAAAAAGCGCACCTCCACCGACTCCAGGTCAGCAGAATCCTGTTCCCAGTCCTTTGCCGAACCCAAGCCCGACCAAGACGGGGACAGATCCGACGTCAGCTTCAGCTTTGGGTCCTACAGCCCCTCTTCCTGCGCCAACGCCAAGTGTCGACCAACCCACACCCACCACTCCGCCTAACGGCGGCGGCAGTGGCATAGACACCAGCGCAACGAACACAACGATGCCTAGCTCCGCGCCCAATGCGACGGTCGCAGGGACTGCAGGTCATGCGGACAGTGCCATTAGGCGCGATCGTCCGCCCGGTTACGCCCTTGGCATCGTGCTGACCTTGGTGCTAGCAACAGCAACTCTCGTTGCGATCGTCATCCTAATGGACTGGCTGTTGCTCATTTTGTGAAGAAGTGTTCACCATGAGCATTGCTTCGTCAGCGCTGATGCGAGGCGAAGGACTTGAATTCTGCTTGTCAAGTGGGACACAAAGCAAGCGTCGAACTCGCGCTCGGCAGTAGAGCTCCAACTGGATGCTCGACTGCCACCCATTCTCGCTCTGTGCCCCCTTGGACTCAGCATCCTGAGTCACCATCATCCTCGTGAAGAAAGGGAAAAGGTCTCGAGGCCGATTCCGTATATCTTATCGACCAGACCAGACAGAAGCAAGCTCAAAACTTAGAGATTGCCAGTCTTCGAATGCACATCAAACGCTAGCTTCGCAGCCTTGAGACACCGACATTTCAATCGCGCCTCTTTGGATCGGCAGGCGGTGAGCTTGCGCCAGGAGAAGTCATGGCCAGCTTCACGTCGTTGGAGCTCCTCTTTTTGTCCTCGGCCGTTGTAGAAGTGCCCATGGCTGCTGCTGTAGCTGGTGCCCCGTCAATGTCATCCCATGCGTCCCACGCATCTTCAGCATCACCTTCGTCGCTCA